TTTTTCTTTAGTCTTGAAAGATAGATAAATTAATAACATCTACTCAATCTTCTCTTGATGCCAATTGTGTATTCAAGTGGGGCGAGAAGCCTGCCAGTTTGGCTTTGATCACAGCTCTGTCAACCCAATCAACACAAGACCTGAGACAGTGTTAAAAGATATGCTTCCCAGTCCTATTAATGCTCATCAATTAAGACTACTAAGAATTTCAAACCAAGTTTAAAGTCTTTACTTGATATTTTTAATTGAATAATAAAAAGATTTTGCATATATTCATTATAGCAGATACATAAAAAATACAATTTTTAAAAATATTTTCTTGTACTGGTACCATACCTCACATTTGCTACTGGATCATGTGTCAGTTCAATAGCAGGTAGAAAGAAATATTTACAGAAAAATGATTTGGAAAAGATCTCTATAATAAATTCACAGGTATCCAAGAATCGAAGTCTATTCCAGTAACTTTTTCCTTGGCCCAGTTCTAGAAACAATAAAAAAGATTATCATGAGTTTGATTTTTTGTACATGAAATTGTGTGACAAAATTAGACACACAAAATCCATGACAAGTTTCTTTATACTCCCAATTTGTTTAGCAAATACAAGAGATAAAAGAAAAAACCCATATTATATACCCCAAATTTGTAGACCCCCAAATTACCAAAATTATTCAACAGAAAAAATTGTATTAAACATTGCATTCAATTCCATAAGCATTTATTAAATACTGAATAACTATATGTACTATTTTTTGATCATCCACTATGTTCTAAGTACTTTACACATATTATCTTATTTAATTCTGAAAAGCACTCCAATGGAATAAGCATATACTTATCCTTCCTACAAGATAAAGATACTGAGATTCAGAGAAGTTCAAGTCACAGAGCTGTAAGTGCAGAGCTAGAATTCAAAACTAAGTCTGTATAACTTCACGATCTTTTAACAATCAAATTAACTGTTTTCTTCCTCTCATTTCCTTAAAAAATCTTTGAAGTGGATAAAGTCATATGTGAACATAGTATTATTGACAATAATTCAGGTCACTATTTAAAGGATAATTTTCTCCTTTACATAAATGTTCAAAAGCAAAATTCTTAATATTTAAAACCAAATAGAATCTTCTTTCAAAATAACCTATTTTAAACACGAGGTCCTACCACTGAAAAATGAAAATTGAATTAAAACAGATTAAAAAAAGAAAGATTCCAAGTATACTGGGCATAATTTTTCATAAATGAAATTTTATGTACTCTAGTTTTTAAAAAGTGGCAATCCATACTTAAAATGGTAAACTCCAATAACCAGAAAATCCCATTACCTGCCTATGCTGGATAATAGAGTTTAATAAAAGCATTAAGACATTATGGTCAAAGCAAGTATACAGTAATTAACAAATTCACTA